CCAGTGACAAACTCAAGCGTACAACGAAATACATTTCCAGACCCTATTTCAAAACTATTCAAGCTAATCTCTAGAACCAAGTCTACCATAGCCTGTAATGCTCACTTGCCTAGCATGCAACTATACAAAATTTATATTATGCCATCATAAAAACAAAGTTTGAGTTCAGTGGCACCTTTAAAACCAACGATTTTATTCAAGGTATAAGCTTTTATGTGCATGCACACTTCTTCAGATGCATGCACACAAAAGCTTATACACTGCATGATTCTACATTGGCTTTTCCCTCTGTTGTTTTAGCAAACCTACATTGGAACAGAAATTTCCCTCTGCATTGCATGCTGCTTTCACTTCCTTTGATCATCGGATTTTATTGTACCGTCTGCATAGATTTATGGCCGTTTTATGGCCATTCAGGGGTGACTTTGCAGTCAGTATGGCCTTGGCCCAGGGTATTTGAATCTGGTTTTGAGCTGTACCTTTTCCTCAGTGTTCAGAAAAAGTGGAGTGAATGCCAGATGCAGAACCAGTACCAGAATAAAACTTTATTGGTCTTAAAGGTGCCATTGGACTCAAACTTCTGCTGCTTCAGACAGAAGAGGAGGAGGAGGAGGAGAAAGAGGAGGAGGAGGAGGAGGAGATTGGATTTATATCCTGCTCTTCAGTACCCGAAGGAGTCTCAAAGCAGCTTACAATCTTTCCCTTCCCCTCCCCACAACAGACAGCATGTGAGGTAGGTGGGGCTGAGTGAGAGAACTTATCCAAGCAACAAGGGAAAAAGACTAGTTTCACAGCAGTCCCAAAGAACTTATGACTGACCAAAGGTCACACCAGCAGCTGCATGTAAAGAAGTGGGGAATCAAACCTCTCCTAAGCACTACACCAAAAATGGCTACCTACCTGAATCTATCACATATCATAAAAGTAAAATATACATATAAAAACACAAAACCAACAATTAAAAACCAAGAGATGCCTGTCACAACAAAAACATCTTCACCTGCTGATGGAAGAGTTGCAGAAGGGGCAAAAGGATATTCCCAAGGAGAAAGTTCCTCAGTTTTGATGTCATAACTAAGATGGCCTCAGCTACCATCTAACAAACCTCAGAAGACAGAGGCACCTAAATCAGGGCCTCAGAGGATAATCATAACAGTTGGGTAAGTTGTTACAGGAGCAGGCAGTCCTTAAAAGTATGCTGTTTCCAAACCAGCTACTTGAATTGGGCCTGGAAAACTGGGAGCAGTAAATAGATCAAAACTGGAGTCTTATGGCCCTTACGACCCACTCCTCTCAGCACCTGGCTGCTACATTTTTATTTTATTTAAAACATTTGTGTCATGTCTTTTTATCCATTTAGTTCACCTAGGCAACTCACAAGTAAACTAAAAAGGAGTTAATTTAAGCTGTCTCTTTGTACATCTCTCTATACATCTCTCTGTACATCTTTCTTACAGCATATCATTAGCAGTATTAGTTTTATTGTCCCTCTTGTACTGGACAAAATAAATTTGTACCATCTTGCCTTGTAAAAGGATAGTATAGCAGATTTTTTTTTAGGTTTCATTTTATTTATTTTTTTATTTTATGAGAAAGCACTCTTCATTATACTTTCAATTTCATTTCCTCAACCTATTCTACCTATCTACAGCTCTGTGACTCTTCAATCAGCAG